TAATTTCAAAACCTTACAATACTCTCACTCTCTATGTAGATAGATAGATAGATAGATAGATAGATAGATAGATAGATACAGTGATGTTAGGAGAAGTTTAAGGGCAAAACAAACATCAAAGTTGTCAGGAAGCATTAGATGGTATTCATTTAACAAATTTTAATTTTTACAGATTATTAATTAGGCGAAATTCCTATTGATAAATATAAATTTGTTAAACTAGTTTTCAGAGATCGTTGATTCGGAAAAAGCTTGGACAAAGTGATCTATCTTTTTATTGTGTATTAGATTAATACTAAAATTGAGATAAATAATCATAACTGATCAGTGATTATTTAAAAATCTATTTGTAACTGTGTCAGATTCTTCAATACGAACGTTAAGATAGTTCGACTGTACGAAGCTAAAACGTAGAGAACTACTATAACCATAATCAAAATGGCACAAGTATTTATAAATAACTGTCTACACAAGATACTCAACATTCATTGACTGAACCTTCGAGAACTACCATAACGATAATCAGAAATGTACAAGTATTTATAAACAATTGTTTATACAAGATACTCAGTGTGCATTAACGAGATGACATCAGCAACAGCCTTCTGTGGGAGAGGATAAATCAATTTCCAATTGAAGCGGAAATTAGGAGAGGACGTTGGAATTGGATAAAACATACATTGAAGAAATCACCAAACTATCACGAAAAAAGCACTAACTTTTAATACTGAAGTGGAACAAAAAGCGGAAGGCCGAAGAACACATTGACTTGGCAATTGGAAACAGACATGAAAAGGATGAATAGCAACTGGAAATAACAGGGGAGGATTGCTCAGGACAGGGTTGGATGGAGAGTGCTGGTTTTGGCCTATGCTCATTCATGAGGAGTAACAGGCACAAGGAAGGAAGTATTTGAAACTGTGTTCCTATTCCTGCATAAAATGATAATAGCTTGATGAGTTATTCAGTTAATCAACGCAAATAATTCATTATCTACTTAAATTATTTCCTGTATTTTCGTGATTTGAAAAACACAATATCATTTGTATATTAATTCAACAAGTAATGATAGAGCTCATGAACCGATTGATATTAGACTGAGACCGAAGGCCTTGGGTTGGAATCTCACGAGCGGCATCTAGGATACGCACTGCTTTGTAATCCCACAATAGGATGAAACAGCCATCCAGTGTTTCCAGCTTTTCAACGTTAGTTTAACATTAATCGGTTCACGATTTCAATCAAAACTTAATAATCTTCACAACCCAATGCTGATATGTAATGATAGATTAATTTTACAGATATTTTAATTAAGGATCTCAAATTCAGCCAATTCAGATGTCACGTCTATTTGATGTTCAATACATTGAAGTAGACTTACGTAGATAAGTAGAAGTAAGTTCGGGAAAATGAAATAAACTAGTCAAATAGTTGATATTATCAGTGTAACTTTTCTCCTCCCATAGAATACATGTTCATTGATTTTAAAAACAACATTATTGATAATAAGTACTGATTGTGGGTTATGGTATAAGTATATTGATTGCCAATAGGCTGAACACGAATTATTACAGTTTAAAGTGGAAGGTTTTCTAATAAGGTACTGTAGAACTTTCAGAGCTTATCGCTTTTCGCAGTAAAAAGAAGTGAATGACGGTTATCGGCCACTTTTAAAACCTTAGTGCAAAAGGCAAAGGTTGACTGGAACGAATCGGTGACTAATTTCTATAAGTTATTTATGTTTAATTAAAACTCATGTTTCCAGAATTCTGAATAGTTCTTTGTCAGACTTTTCCATGAAACGATTGGCATCGAATTGGTTCTTATGTAACTGTTCAATATGTGATCTCGTTAACTCGAACTGATCATAAAATATGAATTCCAGTTATCTGATTTCATTTACAATAAAATTTTCATTTGGTTAGCAGCATACTATTGTAATGTGAATATAATTTTCTCAAACGATTTTTTAACAAAAATTCAATGTTCTTCAAATACCATTGCTTTGACAGATTCATCACATATGTGTAGATTACATATTTTATCTTTAATCAAACTTTTGAGTTAGTTCGCTATTACAGATTCAAATCTCGCGAGAAGGGATCGTAGGTGCACGTCTCTGAGGAGTCCCACAATAGGACGAAACGGCCGTCTAGTTTTTCTAAGTTTCCCATGGAGATCTAACTTCAATTGACTCATGATCTCAACTATTGCAATTATTACAGATTTGTCAATAATTTATTCGATCTATCATTCATCGTGATATAAAAGAAAATTAGCCTTATCCTAATTAATACTCTGTAACTCATAGCATAACACATCGCTAAGCAGATAAATTACAAGTTACATTTTCTTCTAGTTTCAATCACAGATTATTAGCCGCTTTGATAAGTTAGCAGTTTACACGTGCCTGTCAGTCACTTCTTTTTTATTGTACATAACTACTAGTCTGCCTCCTAACTCATGCATATATATATATGAAGAAGATTGATATAAGGTAAGTATATCGTGAATTAATGATCAGGACATTTCAAGAAATTGTCTTTGTATAATCATTAATAAATCCATAATTTCCCTCAAGTCAGTATTTTTATTATTGTTTAAGTAAACACTTTTCATTTTATCCTCAATACATTTCTTACGCGATGAGGTAAACCTATTTAAGAACAGTTCTAATGAGTAAATGAGATGTCATTACCATTAATAATTTCATGACTTAGAAAGTACAATTTCAAACATATATATTACTATTATTCTTTGGATATAATAGTGTAGTGTTATGCAAGTTCACTCAGCTTATTCTAGCTTCCAGAAAAGTCAGTTTATCTATTCTAATCAAGCTAGATTTTGATCATGTTAATGATTCGTTTGTCAACCTTGACTGGTTTTATGTATCTCGCGGGGTGCGGGATCGTGGATGCGCACTGTTGAAGAGTCCCATACTAGAACGAAACGGCCGTCCAGTGCTTCCAGGTTTTCCATGGTGGTCTAGCTTCAATTGAGTCATGATTTTAATCAGTGAATATCATACACTTTGATTTATTTAACAACAACAAAATGTATCTATTTCATACAGCTCAAAATTTTACATGTTTCCTATACCGATGTTACAATCGATAAACATTTTAGATTAAGCAAATATAATAACAGAAATAATGCACAGTTATAATAAGTTTAAATACAGGTCACAGTTTACTTAAAGTTCAAAATTTATATTTAAATCTCGTTTATGTTACTGTACATGTTTAATTATTATCAGTATAGGGTTGTGGAGTTCATTAGGTTTTCGATTGAGATCATGAACCGACTGGTGTTAAACCACTATTGCAAAACTGACAGCACTGAACAGCCATTTCGTCCTATTGTGGGACTCCTCAGCAATGTGCATCCACGATGCCACTCGAGGGATTCGAACTTGGGGCCCTCAGTCTCGCACGCGAACGCTTAACTTCTAGACCACTGAGTCGTCTAATTATTGTCATAAAAAGGTTTACTATGAGCTCATACAGTGAAGTCGATCCTGTTAGACTACCCATTGTTCAATGGGAGTTAGACGCTATGAGTGGCTGTAATTTTTCACTTCGAACTTTATTCATTTATCTAAATGAGACCATTGAAACTTATATTAATGAGTAAATTCTCTCGAGTTTTAAGATTTTTTAAAATTTTGCTGTGAACTAAATTTAAGTCTCAATATGTTTTATCATTCTTAATGTGGCTACAGATGAATATAAATTGAAATATAGTATTGTCTGCCTTCATATATTCTATTTTGTATGAGAACATAACGGTCATGAATGAATTGTGTATATAATTATACTATGTTTGAAGCGATTACGAATTCATCTAATTTGAGGAGGGAACGAAGATTCTGTGACACAATGACAGAAAACTAGTTATTCTGACGCGTCCCAGCCCTGCTAACTAGAGAAAGAAGTCCAATTTCGAATTGGGGAAATATATTCCGCAAACATCCAGAAACATAAGCAATAACAACAGGCACAAATCAAACATATATATACAGAATAAAATTGTCCTAGAAAAATGTTACAACATGGCATACTAAATGATACAACAAACCAATAGTGGGAAATACTACATGAACGTGAAAATGAGCGCTTCTGGCGCAAAAACAAGAAATTCAAGTTCTTAAAATAAAATTACAAAATTAAGGTATTTACCAAGTCAGTTCTATGGATCTAACATCCTCAATAAAATGTAATGTAAGACACATGACACTTGTTTACAAATTTCACCAATGATACGATCATTCAGTCTATCATCTTAAATGTATAAATGTAGGTTAATTTATTTTATTTAATATCATGAATTCATATATTTAATATTTAAAGGTAAATTATTCAATCCAAACTTATAATAAAAACATCTTTAAACGGAGACCAGTAGAGTTCAGTCATGTCACATATGAGACAGTTGTCCAGCACAAGTAATGATAAGTAGTTTAGTAATATCATAAATTCATTCAAGGTAAATTAATGTACTAATGTACTATTTGATACTACGTCAATGATCCAAATGTCAAACATTCGACTGACCCCCCCCCCCATTATAATGGAGTTATGAATATGAACCAAAGGGAAGTCTTATATTATAACGGAACAATTATCAATTACTTCTTGGTTTTTAGTGATAATCATGAATTACTTTCTCTATAAACCTAATCAGCACACTGAAGACTATGATGGACGGTGGCGTAACTTTGTGGATTGGTTGAAATTAGACATTAACACCGTTTGATGTCGGTCAACCCAGTGGTTATTTATTGGTTAAGCGCTCACGCAACAGACTGATAAGTCCTGGGTTTCAACCTCGTTGGGAGGGGCCGGGATCGTGGATGCTCACTGCTAAGGTGTCTCATACTAGAACGAAACGGCTGTCTAGTGCTTGAAGGTTTTCCATAGTGATCTAGCTTCAAATGACTCATGATTTCAACTATTGAAATAATAATAAAGAAAATATATTCATAAGATATGACTTACTTTTTCCTTTCTTAGAACCTGTTGTTGCTCCATACATTATGATTCTTAGTAGTATATATATATATATATATATATGTATATATATTCAGTGTTTAATTTGGATGTCTTCTTCAATCACACTTATATAATTCATAGCATAGTTACAATTTTGATTGTTTTAATCAATGTAGAATAGAAGTGGATTTCTTTTTAAACAAACAAACAAATAAATAAATAAACATAATTCTTCTTATTAAAATTATATTGAATATGCTTTAATTGTTATATTGATAATGTAGATTGGATTGAACTACTTTGTATTATTATCATGATTATGAAAATAGTTAGTGTATTATACATGTATATGTTCATAGGCTTAAACGATTATCATCCAGTTACTATGGGTTAAAATAATGAATGAAATTGACAGAACAGAAAATTGAAAAATTGAAACTGAAACGGTTTTTTCTTCTTCAAACAAACATAGAATCCATTTGTATACAGTAGAAATGAGATTTTTATTCATCTATTTATATATGATAGATATACAGACATATATATGTATATTCTACTTCTTTGATTTTATATGTCTGTCTCTCGATCAAACGGTAAAAAGTGTTGTCAAGTTGATGATGAAGAGAATTATCATGAAAATATTTTTTCTTATTAAAAAGTAAAGATGAATATGTAGTATCTTTTTTAGTTTAGATGTTTAATTCACTTATTTATGCCTATGATCTCTCATGTATGAGTATAAGGCATTCAACAGAATTCTCCATCCGGTACTTGCTAGTTACGTATGCCCGAACACCGATTACCACGACGTACAATGCTAACCGGCGTTCGAGATGGTTGGAAGAAAGTTAGGGGCGGCCAAACTAAAACGTGGCATCAGTGCTTGAAGTCACTAACTTCTAGTTTGAGCCATGTTGGTAGATGCAGACTACTTGGTTGGGGTCCGCGTGACTATCGTAACCAATGGTTGGAGACTCTTGGTGACATAGCTCAGAATCGATCACAATGGCGTCGGTGTATACAATCTCTATCTTCCCTTAAACTAAGAGATTAAAATTATGTTATATGTTTTTTTTCTACGAACTAATTCTTTCTTCCTGTACCAATTCCTTATATACAATCTTTCTTCTATATATTACCACCTCTGAACTAACTACTTTTATGAATCCGGTGTTTATGTTGTTGTGTTAATGAGGTTTGGCAACTTGAACTGATGCATATATATGCCTGGTCCTACGTTGTAGCTGACTGACTGACTGACTTGCCAGTTACTATTCATCCTTTTCATGTCTGTTTTCAATTACTGAGTTAATGTGTTCTTTGGTCTTTCTCTTTTCGTTTCAATTTAGTATTCTAGTTTGGTGATTTCTGAAATGTATGTCCTATTCACCTGCAAAGTCTTTTCCTAATTTCCACTTTAGCTGGAAATTCGTACATTCTCTTCCACATTTGACTGTTAATGATAATATCCAATCAACGGACATTGAGTATCTTGTGTAGAAATTTGTTTATAAATACTTGTACCTTCTTGATGATGGTTGTAGTTCTCAAAGTTTCAGCTCCGTACAATAGAACTGACTGTCCTGACGTTCGTATTGAGGATTATGACATTGATATTGGTTGACAGACAGTTATTTTGAGTTCCATATATTCTTCAACTGTAGGAATGCTGTCCTTAAATGTTTAATTTAATTAACATAAAGTTATAATATGTAGTAATTTCAAATCCGAATTATCAATAGTATGAAGAAATATATTTTTTTAAATGACCCCTCTGTCATATACACTGAAAAAGTAACTGTTAGTGAGAAACAATCTATTGTTTAAAGTGATGAGTTATGGATATATGTTTCAGTAGAAATCAGGATCCCAAAAGATTCCTCATTCTGTTATCAATTACTCTCCAAACTCCTGGGTATCAAACATTCAATGTAACTAAAACTGAAGCATTCGTTTAAAAACTATATATGTCAATAATTCTTAGTATTTCTAAATCGGGTGTTCATAACGACTATATTAAAAATGTGTGAACTAACTGGACAGGTAAAATGATTAGAAACATTAGTGTTTGATGATTCGCTCTCTTCATGAGACTAATATATATATATATATATATATATATATATATATATATATATATATATATATATATATATCTTTGAATATTAATGTCAAGATCTTCGGTAGCTTCTGTCAACAAGTTTATTGAATGTTGAACAATTTTAACATCCGGAAGCTTTGAATTCAATTTTATTTCATCTGATAAAACTGTTATTAGAATAGTAACAGAATCTGACACTAGTCTGTGCATAAATATTAGTACTAACGAACTTCACAGTAAATATACTCTAGACAAACAAGTTAATGAAGAGTCCAAATCATTTTGTCATAACAAAATCTTGTTTACATTAATGACAAACTGAGTTTAAGTTGTCTAATTTTGTTCATAAATGTAAATTTCGTTTCCATAACGATAATCTTATGATATTCTTTTCCATACAACCATTGCTATTCTATGATTTTTTTATTTTATTTTGTTTTAACACATAGATATTGGTACAAGGAGGCACCAAATAAATATGCGCCACACAGATTTCATTTGATATCTGTGAGGGCTGTGATACTTCCCGGGTGTCCAAACCGAAGAAGGTGGCCTTCGTAGGGGGCCACATCTGGAGCCTTCGACCTGCAGGACTAATCCACAAGATAGTGGAGTATCGTAAGGAGATGTAGTCCCATGGTAGCCGTTGACCAATGATTGGTTCATACGTTATTTGTTCCCACAGGATACTGGGGCGCATGTGCACCATTGGTTTGGAATCAGAGTTTTCCAACTCCCGTAGGTGGACTCTCCATGTCCATCAACCCGGTTAAAGCGCCGGACACTCGCTTTTCGTCCTCTCAATTTCGTAAACAACACCCCCGCCACGAGAAGGCAGTGAGTAGGACTTCCCTAGTAGAGGCTACATACGCGTGGCCATGTGAGAGTATTTCGAGATGGAGAGCGGACTCTCCCCGCCCTCGGCCGTACCAGGGCATTTGAGGGCTATTCTATAATTGATTGTTATTGCGATTTTACTAAATATTGAAATATTATGTTTTATTACATCATAATATAGAGTTGGTACATTTCAAATTAGACTTTTTTCAGTATACAAAGTTACTGTGACAGTCACAAGTTTTCTGTCCCTTTTTAGCTCATGGATCGTATACTTTGAAGTATTATTGGTTGTAATTTATCGTATTATAGAATCCAAATCCAAATCTCAACTGCCACATATAATACCTAGTTATGCATTGATCATTAGAACATTCAGAACCTAATTTATTTTATAAGCAAAGATGGATAATGGCTAGCAGTAGAATCCAGAATGCCTGTTTCGACTTATTCGGAACCCGTCATCTGGATGTACTTGGAGTTAATATCAACTCTGAGATGAATGCACATCTAGCTACTGACGAGTCCCAAATAGGATGAAATGTGCTTCTTTGATTCCACTGCTAGCCGTTATCCATCTTTGCTTATAAAGTTTGTGACTTAAGATAACCTCGAGGCAGTTCGCATAGGATTCACATATACTAACAAGAGACTAATCAATGATAGTCCTAAACATCAATGGGATAATTAAAGTAAACAATACCAGGTGAATCTAATTTATTTTATTTCACATAAATAAAAATACAGAATATTGATAGAAAGTCAATAGTATTACATAATTTGTTTTATTTTATAAATAATCTCAAGTTTATTAATGCTTAATGGCAGCGAAGAAGAACCATACATTCACATATACATGAATTGGTTGATATTAACAACATTGGATGCCGGCCAATTCATTGGTCCAGAGATTAAGCTTTCATATACGAGACCTATAAGTCCTGGGTTCGAATCCCGCGAGCAGAATGCGTGGATACTCACTGTTGAGTAGTCCTATACGAGGACGAGATGACCGTTCAATACTTCTAGATTTTCCATGGTAGTTTAGCTTTAATTAACTCATGAATTCAAACATTAAATTATTAAACTTTCGACAAAACCGTCCTTCTGATAATATACATATATGTTCATATAAATAAATAACTATAAACGCACAACTCAATAGATTATTATTTCCCGTCAATAACTTCAATTATACTTAAATAAGTAATGTATTAATTTTCATAAACTATAATTCTAATCAATGTATCCCATAAAATGTTATTACAAAAAATAAGACATTGAAAAACTGACAGACATGGATAAGATTATGGAAGTTACAGTTAAACATATTTCCCCGAGACATACTTACTTACTTACTTACGCCTGTTACTCCCAATGGAGCATAGGCTATGAACCAACATTCTCCAACCCACTCTGTCCAGGGCCTTCTTTTCTGGTTCCATCCAATTCTTGTTCATTTTCCTCATGTCTATTTCCATTTCCCGGCGTAATGTGTTCTTTGGTCTTCCTCTTTTCCTTTGGCCTTGAGGATTCCATGTGAGGGCTTGTTTTGTGACGCAGTTGGGTGCTTTCCTCAATGTGTGTCCTATCCACTTCCAGCGGTTCTTCTCTCCCACAGTACGTTGTTGCTAATAGTGTCCGGCCAACAGATCTGAAGTACTTTGCATAGACAACTGTTAATAAACACCTGTATTTTCTGGATGATAGCTTTCGTAGTTCTCCCCGAGACATGCTTTTTATTTACTATGCATATAAGAAATATTGAACTTATTAACAGCTATCTCTGAGTAAATTCTAATTCTGTTTAACTGAAAAAGTGTTATAACTTGCGGCCTGAGTGCTCTGTTGATGTATAACGCGATGATACCGCCAATTAGAGAACAGTGAATTATCGATCGGACCAATGACGCATAAAACCTCGTACGAGCAGTTTAGAGTCCTTATTGGTCCTGCTTTTCGCCTAGCCCAGCCACTTAAGTCAAGAACACCAATCTCAGCATCTGCAATATGAATCATTTATTTCAAGCATACTGGGTTTTATATACCAACCAGATAGACCACATCGTACCAATAAAATAGGAAACAACATTTGTACAAGAATT